AAAGGGAGCGCTTTATTTCCATTTCTTTAATTTACTAGTTCTTTAGCTGATGATTTTATTAACCCTTGTATTTGAGAACTGATGCTTAACAAAAAAGAAGACCAAAAAAAGGCCTTTGGCAGTATTGTGAAGGCCTGGAACTGAATAATGCACTTTAATAATGAGGGATAGAGCTATGGCTTTTGCTGATGGCTGTGACCGGCTCTGTGACCTGATTATGTCGCAGAGTGTCAGCAGCTGAGACACTACAAAAGGGAGCGCATCCCATCAAATCTATCTCCATTGTAATCACTCGCACTGCTGAGAGCCTTGTTAGGAGCAGGGAATCCATCAGGCCTCATTAGCACCATTTACCATCAAGAAGCTCAAAGAGCAAATGTGTACCCTCTCATCAGAATAATGAGAACAAAAGTACTCCTATTATCTAATTGGATCAACAATGCCTCTCTCCCTATTTAGTTTCCTGAGCTACTTGTGGACTGCAGCTCTCAAAAATTAGTTATTTTTTGTTAATTGCCAGGGTGGAGCTGTGCTCAAGGTTTTTCATATACAGAAGGTTTTCTCATCTAAAGAGCAAGGCATGGGCACAATGAAGCCCGAGTTCCTCCGAGGGCATTCTTAGATTATACTGATGCCATCCCAATTAAATCCACTGTTCAATTAAAGTAGGTACTGTACAATTACACCATACTTACTTAGGTTTTCCTATTATCCTACCAGGAAACAGAATGTATTGCCCTCTTTAATCACAAGACAGTTCATAATGCCAACTCTTATCATGCTACTTTTTTACTCTTTATGGTAAAGTGTTATTTTGCAATTGCTGAATTAGGATGTATTTTTCTCTTATTAGACAACTACCATCTTTCCAAAAAAGAAACTAAACTTACTCAGCACCCGCAGTTAAAATGTATTTGATCCTGTTGAAGTCAAGGGACCTATACGAATGCAACTGTGCTGGTTTTGCCTGGGATAGAGTTAATTTTCTTCACAGTAGCTGGTATGGGGCTGTGTTCTGGATTTGTGCTGGAAACAGCGTTGATAACACAGGGATGTTTTCATTATTGCTGAGCAGCGCTTACACAGAGTCAAGGCCTTTTCTGCTTCTCACACCACCCCACCAGCGAGTAGGCTGGGGGTGCACAAGAAGTTGGGAGGGGACATGGCTAGGACAGCTGACCCCAACTGACCAAAGGGATATTCCATACCATGTGACGTCATGCTCAGCACATAAAGCTGGGGGAAGAAGAAGGATGGGGGGGACGTTCGGGGTGATAGCGTTGTCTTCCCAAGTAACCGTTACGCGTGATGGAGCCCTGCTTTCCTGGAGATGGCTGAACACCTGCCTGCTGATGGGAAGCAGTGAATGAATTCCTTGTTTTGCTTTGCTTGCATGCACAGCTTTTGCTTTACCTATTAAACTGTCTTTATCTCAACCCACAAGTTTTCTCACTTTGACTCTTCTGATTGTCTCCCCTGTGCCACCTGGGGGTAGTGAGCAAGCAGCTGTGTGGTGCTTAGTTGCTGGCTGGGGTTAAACCACGACAGCAACTGATGACAATTAAGCACTATGTTTTAGCCAAGTAGGAAGCTGGCTTGCACGTAGCACTTACAGAAACCAGAAGCATCAACCTTGCTTCCATATTTCTGTGGTGTGCCTCCTTACAAAGATTAAAAAACCAGCCAAAATACACATTTCATGTACTTAACAGACATAGTAAAACCCACTCAAAACTCCTAATATTTTCTTTCATTTGCAATAACAGAGTGAAAAAGAAAGTGTTTGGTTGTTACATCTCTGAAGAATCCAAGTGCAGCAATGGCACTAGGATCCTACTACAAGGACAGGCTGAAGCCGAGCAGGTAGACAGCTTCTCTTTGAAATCAATGCGTCTACTGACAGGATGGAATCTAGCAATTCTGCTACCCTGGCCTTTAAATTTAAGATATGAAAGCCCAGTCCCGCTAACGCTTCCTAGAAAGTGCTGAGGGCAAACACAATGTAAGCAGCGTTACATGGGCCAATAGCTCTTCATAATATGCCTCTGAAAATGAAAATTTGATTTAGAATCCTCTACCTGTACTATATCAAATTAATCAGGTGATCTAATCATATTATTCCAATGGATTAGATCTCTCTGCTACAGTGGTCCTGGGGAGCTCTGGTATTATAGTTCATATTGCCATCCAAAGCAAAAAAAAAACCCAAAACAACCCAACAAAAAACCCGTAATTGTGAATTCAATAATTAATTTAATAACAAATACGCTATATAAATGATTGTTAATATGTATAATTTTGTTACTGTGATTGTAAGAACTCCTAGACTATTGGGAATTAAGGACATGTTATATGTCATTTAAAAGACCGTTTCCCTAAATTTGCCATAGGATCTTGGATTTGACCGATAGCTTAATGTCTCCAGGGATTACTGATCACCATATATTTAGCTAGACAGATGGACATTTACAAGCCCTGAATTTCTATAACAGAAGCAGCGTATAATTACAAAGATTGCACATACAAACAGTCTGGTAAGTCATCCAGCCTTATATTTGTGGGAGTGAATTTTGGGTATCACACTTGTGATTCTTTGAAAGGGGCAATTTTCAAAGGGCAGATTCTTAACATATGATGGAAATCTGGCTCCTTAACGAGTCCAAGCAGGTCATTCAGAAATGGAGTATCCCAAATCACTATTCACTTAAGCTCCCAATTTTGAAGAAACATACCTTTCAGTTCTTGTTCAGTTGCTATAGTTTTATTAATTTGCAGGGAATGTAATTTAATTTCTGGAATGTAGTTTAATTACACTGAATAGTCCTGTTTTGTAGACAGATAGCTTCAGAAGTGTGCTCTAAGCAATATGGGTTTATGCTGAATATTATAAAAATGGGTGTTATATTACACACATATTATCAATACTTATCTATATTGTGGTGAGGTCTGCAGTACTGATTATAAACCAAGGAACATTTATAAAAACAAGTAATAAAAAGACAGCCCTTATTTAAAAGAGCTAGGCAAACAGACAGATTCTGTAATTTTATCCAACAATAGGGAAGATTCTTCCTTTCTCTTCTCTTTCTATGCAACCTGCGGAATTACTGGACTTAACATTATGTGTGGAATAAACAAGACAGCCTGAGGGAATCTACAGTTTCATTCAGTGATATCTTCACAGTAGTATGTTTTTTTAAACATACAATGAATGGCCACACTTCGCTTATGTTTCCTGTGGAGAACATGTAAAGGGAAAACTATCGAAAAACGAGTCTGGGTTTATATCTTCAGCTCTTACAATGAACATCTTTGGTGCCAAGTGCCTCACGTGAGTGGCGATTGTGAACCATTTCTGGAGCACAGATAGAAACAAGCAGGCTTCTAGGTTGGAGCTGATCTGACTATGAGTTATAGGTATTATAACCAACTTTTCTTCCAAACCAATACCCCATCCCTCCAGAAATCTTAATAGGCTTTTGAGAGCCTCCATTTAAAGCTGGCTGCATAAAATGATCCTTTGATGAAAAGGGATTGAAACAAGGGTTAAAGTAGACATTGAAAGGTTATTGTAGAGGGCACATTGTTCATACAATCCTCCTTTAATATGTGTGGTGTGCACCTGCGATAAGATGATTCATTAGATAAGGCCTCACTTTGACAAGCTCCATCGTTCAACCCTCGGGGTAGTGATGGAACAATTCTGCACCCACCCAGTAAATATAACAAGGTCAGCATTTTTTTTTCCTGGGACTTGGATGGTGATACTGAAGCTCAGGATGCATCTTTGTTTATGTTTTCTGCTAAAAAAAGGGGGGGGGGCCCTCCTATAAAGTGTTGTCTTTTATTTTTTAATGGGCCAAAATAAAAAATGTCACCCCTGTTCCAATTAAATAACACAGTGATAGAAAATTACCAGGAAAAAACCTGCTCTTCATGTTTTGTTTTTTTTTCCCATAGTAAACAGTAAGAGTAGAGACTAAACTTTAGGTTCACATATCACCCAAGCTGCATCATTTCAATAAATGTTTACCAGGGCCTAACATCCACATAAGCACTGTGGATATCACCGTACACCCAATTTGTAGCATTTAGAATAATGACATTCAAATTACTCAGTTACCAGGTCCAGTCATAAGTTATATTGACAGATTTGTTACGATGACTTTATGTGAAACAAGTAGTTGTGTTAATTTTAGTCCTAGTAAATGCAATAAAGAAAGCTACTTACACATGCTGCATCAATGGAATTATTTTTATATATATGGATTCAGATGCATATCTTTCTGCATCATATTAAGACTGAAAACAAAATAGTTTGCAACAAATAAACAGCTCCCAAATGCAGAGAATGCACAATCTCTCTCTTAGACACACCATAAACATTGTTCAAGTTTCTGTTTGGAATATTTTCTTTAAAGCAAAAGTTTCTCCCAAATTTGCATTACAGACTGACAGATTCATTGCAAATTGCTTAACTTAATCAGCAAATGAGTAAGCCACCCAGTTAAATCCATCCCAGACACTTCATTACAATTTGTGTTCCTTTACTTAAAACATTTAGTATCTTTTTAGAAATGAAGTAATACAGAAATGCTACAACTTGCAAAAAGGTATACTTTTAATAGTACAGTAGCACTTTAATATAGTTGTCTGTTATTAGGCCTATATAAGTCGAAGAAGACAGCTGGCATGTTTGTTAAGAATCACAGGTTTGCTGGACTTCTAAAATACCATATTATTGCACTATTGTGATCTTTTCAAAAGGTTGAATTAAAATAAAACAAACCCTAAGCCTTTTCTGGCTTGAAAACACTTTCTAACAGCTCCTAACTTCCTCCCAGTTCTCAGACTTTCCATTTCTTACCTTGTCTGGCAAATCAATATTTATTTATCTTCAATATGTGCACTTTTAAATTGCTGTCATACAAGCGGAACTCATTTTTGTCCCAAGATCAGCCTGCCATCAGAATTCACTGTTTGCTCCATCTTCTACTCACCTGTCCTTGTGCATTAGTGACGAGTTGACCTGTGACCCCCTGAAGACTGGAGAGGGCATTGCCAAAGGCCTGGGAGCTCGCTATTGAGCCCATGGCTGCTGCTGCTGCAGCCGCTGCTGCTTGACTTGCTAGCGGGTTATTAACCAGCTGAAAAAAGAAAGAAAAGATCATGGTAAAACCCTCGGTAAACACAGAAACACAGAGTGCTAACTGGATAACATAAAAGTGATTGTGCTAACGTGGGTAAAAAACTGTGCAGTCCAAGAGCTTGAGTAGTTTTGAGAGGTTCTTATTTCTGAGGCTTTGGTGTCTTTGACAACGAATGGTTTTAAAAAAGTCAGAGGAAGTTCCATGTTAATATCGAAGAATAAAACTCTCTTTTTTCACCCCTTATTATCTTTTTTTTTGAGTTATGCTTGATGCGTTTCTTTAGGTTCAATGTGCTAATGCTGCAGGTGTAGCAGCCTAATCCTGCTGTAAACAGCAATCAGTGAAAGATTAGCATTTGATTTGAATGGGAGTGGGATATTTACTTGGGGATATTCAGAACAGAGACTATTTTACTAATGACCCCAGAAATGAGAAAAACCTGCAGATCCTTTTAATTTATATCATTAAAGAATTGGTCTCAACGTCTAGATAAATCACAGCAGAGGACTCAACCCTGTGATTAAGTTCAGTAGAAATCAACTAAAAATTCAAAATTCATTTGCAAAATATGATACTAAGCAACTTACTGCTTCTCAACTGCAAATGATTAATTGCAGGACTCATAAATTTTCAGGAAGTGAGTTGTACTGCCCACTTCAGTCGGTTCTACCTGGGTGCTTCATATAAAGCATAGAGCACAGTCACGGCTTTCACCTTAGGAGACTGTGGGAATGCCACAGAGGAACACTCCTGTCAACACTTGGGTTTATCAAACATACAAAATGTGTGTTCCTCTGTCAGAATCAAATGTCCTCTGGGAGATGGCTTGTTCACTGGTTTATTGTGAATTTTATATTTTTTCATCCTTTTCTGAGAATGGACAAACTTTGAACCAAGCACACAGGGATGACAGTAAAAACAAATACAATTAAAAAAAATGCTGGGAACCATCATCACTGGGACAGCTGTCCTGAGAACAATCAAACAAACTCAGTTCAACAGAATGAAAATGTATTTTAGAGTGGGTTTGCCCCCTAAGAATCATTGCATTTTAGCAGAGCTTGCAAAATGCACATTAGCAGGGTAAAGTAGCCAGAAGTTTGAGGGGGGAAAAAGTCTGGGGACAGCAAAGACATTTTTTCTTAGGCTGAGGTGAAAATGCTGAAGCTAACTCAGAAAAGTTTAATGTTTGAGCTGAAATTAGTAGGAGTTCTGACTCCTTAGATGATGAGTAAATTATCAATCCTATAGAAAGGGAGAGTCACAGACACCAGTAAGGGATGTAATCCACAGACAGGCTCTGCTTCAAAATACGTTATAAAAAATTAATCAGTGATTAGTAGATGTTTTAAGCATGTTACAGATATGAGTAGTGTGTATGTTATAGATGTTTAGAAGCCCATCAGTAGAAGATGTCAGGTATGGCTATAATCTATGCTTATAAGAAACCTACTTGTCTGCTGGACGTTGTGAAATCTACAACAATTGATTGGTCATACATTAAAACAGCTATTAATCATTCATTAGCCCTTCATGAAGTATTTATAAATGGAACCTTGATATAAAGTGTTGCCTAAAGGGGCGCCTTGGGCGCATCCAATCCCTCTAGAAATTGTAAAGTAAATAACTAAATAAAGATTAGTAGCAATGCTGGACAGAAAAGATGACATTGTTGGAGGAAATATTTTGATTTGGAAAAAATTGTTATATGAATCTTCAAAACCGGTCCGTGGCATCCCGTGGCAAGAAAACCAAGCAGGAATAAAACACAAAGGGGGAAACCGCAATGACTGCTTGATTAGCAGTCTTGATGAGCTGTGAAGAGAGCGGAGAAGGGCACAATGACCAAGGCAAAGCTCAGTCCCTGAATGCAGAGTGCAAGCAATTCCACTGCCTGCACAAGGTGTGAGCCCAAATGTACTTTCGTGCACTCCACAGTGACTTGGGTGGTGGTGCCTGAGCACAGCAGTACCATGCCAGATAACAGAATAGACAAACTTGTCAGTTTTCTGCTCAAAACAGTGACATGTCTTTATTGTCCAGATCAGAAGCTGGTAAACCCTGCCTTTCTCCACAGCACTTCATGGGCAGCGCTGGAACTTGGAGTAATTCCCTTGTAGCTGTAAATACTTGGAGAAGAAAGGGGCAGCAGCAAAAGTGTAAGACTTTCAGAAAAGGCCTTCTGCAATCTTATTAGGCACTCACAAATTACTGCATCTATGATCCTACAGCATCTGACTGCAGGTATAAATGATAATCTGTTATTATTTATAACATTATTAAAACTTAAACATTAAAACTTAAACTTATCATTAAAAATTAAAATCACGGTTACCTGACATCAGCTAATAAACTATACTAGCTGCTATAGTTTATGGTTTCAGTTGCATATAGGAACAGTTACTTGGGGAGCATAAGTAAGCTTGTGAATCTGGAAACCCTACAAAGGGTTAAAACCACCTAAAAATCAGACAATCACCTCCTAGAATCTCCTTTCCATTTTTCTTGCTCCGGTTTTCAAAAACTGTACATTTTCAAATACAACAATAAAATTTAATTACAACAAACCCTGGAGACACTCAGGATTGCTTTTAGTTGCATCACAGAGATAAGCTACTTATTAAAAATGATGGCAGAGGCTATGATATGCATAGGTACCCTGGGTAGTACCACGTTCCAGGAAAAATCACAGTGAATAGGCCAACTCGCAGGGTAAGAGACTTCCAAGTGCATATAAAAACATCCCTATCTATTCATAAGTCTGATTAAAAATGAGAAGATGCATTTTTCTTTGAGTGCTTTGGGAAGCTGTTGACTGCAAGTTACACTCTGTTAAATTGACCCCTTTTATATCGTGTGCAAATTGGGGATTAAGAAATACATCTCATTTCATTATGTCTGGACACCAAGGTAACTTCTAACACATTATATCTTGCTTTTATTTTAAAAATAAAATCTCTGACTTGAGAGGTTTATGCCATTTCTCAGTGCAGGTTGGATCCCTGAGAACACTTATTGGAAGTATTAGAAATATATTATGGAAGTTCCCACAAAGGGCTCTTCCCATTTTTGTTTCTGTATTTAAATAATGATTTAATTTGGAAGGCTGAGACCTCTGGAGCTGTCAATTCCAGTGCCCAAATTTCGGCTCCCACTCAAAACACCAGCCATAACAGCAGGTAATAGCGATCTTAGTTTAAAGTGACAGGCCAGCCCTCTCAAGGATGCCTCCGTTAATGACATGATTATATGGGGAAGCAAACTTTATGAGGAAGAATCTTGTAATAACTGAGTAGCTTCAGTACATTTTTCTGACTTCCCAAAGCTGAACTTTTCAAGGAAAAGCATATGAAAGTTGTTCTGCTCTAACTTAGTGTAAAGCAGGAGCCATTCCACTGTAACAAACAGAACTCACAAATAAAACTAACCTGTAAAATGATGGGGGATGAAAGAGGCACTACTTACATGATCCTAAAACTGTGACATGTGAAGTGAGAGTTTCTAGGGTTAAGAAATAGTCTTCAAAAAGCACAATTTCAAGAAAAGTGTGGTAGAGTCAATGCTGCAAGCAGCTTTCTTGAGAGCCACAAATTCTTTTTTCTTCTGGAAGAATACCCTCTTCCTCTCTTTTTTTCCAAAGCTAACTTAGTATCTCAGTGAACTTGCTGTGAGAAACTGATCAAGCATTCACGTATTGTTGAATACAAGATCGGATTTGATAGCCTACACAGTAATTTTACTTTTCTCTATAAAGGACATATCCTACTAAACTTTCATTCTCCTGGTCTGGAAATCAAAAAGCCAGTTTTACTCATTCCATTATCACTCATTCAACAAATATAAAGAAAAAACCAAATGGTTTGACTGATGAAATGAAAAGCCAAGACATTTCAGGATGTCAGAACATCATATGAAAAAATGGGCCTGTAACCTGAAAGGTAAGGTCACTCTATGTAGTGCCAGTATAAGAATGAAGTTAGAACTTGTGTGTTTTCTAAAGGACTTGTGGGAGAGGCTAAGAGTGAAGATACGCTATCTGAATGCAGCAATGGAGAATGGAGGGACATATTGTGGAGTAACAGGAGGCATAACTTCATTTTAAAAAATAGTATCGGTGTTTTTCAGGAAGGCTGTTAAAAAAATTACATTTCTGGATATCTCCTAGAGATTAAATTAGTGTAGAAAAGCAGTATATTTGATTAGGGACCGACAGATCCTCAGTCTCTTATGTTCTCAGACAATCCTTTCTGTAGGGAGCATCACACTACTAGATCAGCTACTGATCAGCTACTGAGAGTGCTTGCCTAAACCAATGCTTTTCAAGGGAAAACAGAAAAATCCTTTGATTTAAATAACTAAAAGTTGAGGAGAATTCAGCAACGGCTCTCAATCAGAAACACATGACATTTTTCTTTTCTACCCAGACTATGTGAAAAATGATCATAGAAATTAAATTTTTATTAGCATGGCATTTGCTATTGTAGGAATTTTTAACTGAGAAGCTATGTGAATTTTATCTGTGTTTAGATTATGAGAGAATCACATGTTAAAATCTAGTGGGGTTTATTCCCATTTTTTCACAGTGGCTCATGAGACAGATTCTGGGTAGTAGTCACTTGGCCTTAAGGGAAAAAGACTGTTCCAAACTGAGCACAGGCTTCTGAGGATATTCTGGTCCCTACTTCATTACTGTGAACAGCATTATCATCTGTATTGGGTGTAGATGGTAAGGTTTTGGTAGTGGGGGAGCTGCAGAGAAGGACAGGAAAAAAAAAAGGGAAAACAACAGAGGGAACACCAAGGTCAGAGAAAGGAGAAGGAGGAGGTGCTCCACAGCAGAGCAGGTGTCCCCACTGTAGCCCTTGGAGGACCCCACACTGGAGCAGATGGGTATTTCCTGATGAGAACTGTGATCCGTGGAGAGCCCACGCAACAGCAGGGGAAAAGTGTGAAGAGGAAAGAACAGCAGGAGGGAACTGTTCTGGACTGACCATAGC